ATAATTCTAATCAACAAATAAAATTTTTTAAATACACTTATATATGTAGTAATTGTAGTATATTGTTATTATAGTATTAATCTTACTAAAAATTTGCTATTTATATTAAAAAGTTACTGTACAATGATTTTCTGTAGGCTGTCGATATTGAAAATGAACAAAAAAAGCGATTAGAAGAAGCTGCATGCCAAATTAAATTAAAAGGTAGTACTGAGAACCTAGCTGCCAAAAATAAAACAAATCACAAATTACAACAAGTACGTCCATATTATAATGAATATACAATTTAAATTGGTTACAAGATTTGTCGATTAAATAAATTAAGTTTGTGTAACATAACATTTATCTTGCATGTTGTGTTGTAATGTTTTTATAATTGTTTACTGAAAAATAAGTATTATTTTAATATATTTATATTTTTTTGTTTGCTTTTTATCTCTAAAGATTGATGTTTGGTTGTGGTATACACTAGTATTATAATAGTTGTAATGCATTAAAAAAGTATTTCATGTTTTGTTATTTATAATTTAGAAATAATGTTTGTTTAAATTTAGAATTAATGTTTGGTGTTTGTATTTTGTTTTCTTTTATTTCTTATGACAACACACTAATTATTAATTTAGAAGGCTTAAATCATTAGTATAAGCTCAATAATTTGCTTGAAGCTTTAAATGGACGTGCACTACATAACACGACACTGGTGTTGGATCAAAATCAAATTAATTTAGGTACCAATCCAATTATATTTAAAATTATTATGTATGGAAGGAAAAATGAAGTGTTCTAATATTTACTAATTGTGTGTTCTTATTTTACCTGAAATTGGATTGGTAATAAATGCACCTTGAAAATTTAAGTTCTATTTAAGGTATATCATTTATTCAGTGTAATAGTATAATATTATTCTTCAATCAATTTTACTACAGTAGATTCATCACAATAAATTATTTTAACTAAAAGTATAATATATTAGTTGATTAATTTATATATCTAATTATTTAACTGTTTAAATATATATTTAAGTGCTTAACTGTATGAGTAGAATTTGGATTTGTTTGAATAATTTAGCTAGTAAAAAAAAAAAAAAAAATATGAATGTTTTAAACCAAAATATTTTTAATGTTTTTTTTTCTATTAATTTTAATTTACCATTTATTAATAACATAAATTAATGTTAAAATATAATTCTTAATCATTATTTTTACTTGACATTTCATTTTTCCCTCTTCATAAATGTACTATAAATATTTTTTTTTGTGTTTGGTTCTAAACATTTTTTGAATTTAATTGATAAGTAGTCATAACTTGTAAGTTATAATATACATTTTTTTTCAGGAAGCTGTTATTAATGAACTAAAAAACAAGACAAAGATGGTAAAAGAAAAAAAATTGTTACACCAAGATGAAGTATACAATGGTGCATTGGAGGATATTCTCTTAGGTTTAAAAAATGAACCTTATAGAAGAGCAGATGCTGTTCGGAGAAGCCAAAGACGTCGCATTGATAGCAATCGATTGTCCAGGACTTTGGAAGAACTTGAATTTTAATAAGTCCTTTTAATTTGGTAATGTATAATAATAGTAATTTTTTCTGTATTTAATTAATTATGCGAATGATAGTTTTATATGGAAATAACATAATATTACATGGTATATACAGATAATATACTTATAGATAGTAAACATTTTTATTGCATCAATTCATTGTCCAGTCCCCAGGTACTATACCCATCTACTCACCTATCAATTTTGGTGTAGAGGCAATAGCCTCAAAAAACCTATTTTGGCATTGGTTATGAATGTTATGATTTATGATTATAAAATTGTATTTACAAGCAATATTAAAAGATAACACAATATAAAAATTTTTTTTTCTAGATTGATGTACTTATGTCATCTAAATTTCACATATCCAAATACTCATGATTATACGTCAAATATAATTAAGTAATAATAATTATAATTATAACAACAAAAAACTGTATCGTTAATGTACTCATATTATTATTTTGTTTGTTAGTTATTTTATATGTTTATTTATTGGAACTAAATTATATTTTCTTTTTATAAGAATGATAATATTAAGTTGTTTAGACTAAAATATTAGGTTAATGTTAACTAATTTTGTCATATATACAGAATAGATTACTGAGGTTAACATAAAACTCTTTGACCTATTCTGTATATATTTATACATATTTTTGTCACTATTAGTTAATTTTATGTGAATTTTGATTGTTTATAGTTTATACCATTAAAATTATTGTAAATTATATATTTATTTTTATGTCAATAGAATCTTCTTTTTCTGTAATTTCTTACTTACAATCTCTTATAATGAAAAAGAAAGACTAATAAATTTATAATTAACAATAGTAACAGACCATTAAAATATTTTTTTTATAAGATTTCTATTTTATTTCTATGTTTTACTAAACTATTTAAGAATTCTCATGTGCATATGTTTTAAATACAATTTTCAGATTTAATATTTTATTTCTAATCCTTAAATTTATTATCTAAATCATAATCTATTTAGTAATATTTTTTAGAAGCAATTATTTATATATTTGTACATTATGATGGACTAACATTCCATTAGGAAATATATGTTTAAATTGTTTAGTAAAATATAGATGACATTGAAAACTTAATTTTATAAAATTATCTATTGATAAAATATTTTATTAGTTATTAGTATACAATTTTTACTTTTATACATGTTAACAAAACGAATTTTTGATTATTCTTATCTGTTATATAACGAGCTTAGTAAAGAAAAAAAGATTCTAATGAAAATAACCTTAAGTCAACGAGACACATTATAAGCAATATTCTATTTGTTGCTACTTATTTTTATACATATGATAATTTATTGTCAATTGGATATTGCTTTTTGACATTCCATTAGTGTTTAAGAATCTCTTGATCAATTACTATCACTTTTGTGATGTGGTGCTTGTAGATATTAGTCTTGGAAAACTTTTTTTTTTATTATACTTATTTTGTTGAATACACATATACAAATTAATTTCAAATGTTGTTTTTGTTTTAAATTTAAACTATTATTATTAATGTTACTTTGTAAAGAGTCTCATTCAATGAAAAAATATTCTCCTAGATTTGTATATATTTTCATATTATACTTTACGTTTCATTATATTTTTAATATTTTATAATATGTGTAAATAAGAATCATAAAATTATTTAATGTTTATTATTATAATTATTTTATACCAAAAAAAAAACCGAAAATCTTTAGATTGGTTAAGTGCCATCAGAATAAATTATTACAAAAATGAATTTTTGTTTATTTCTAGTATTGATTATACACACATATAATTTATAATATATTTCCTATTAATTATTTCTTATTTTCCAAATTCAAAAAATGTATTAAGATTTATTAATTTATTTTTTCCTTGTATACCTAATGTATCAATAGTTAAGATTGTTATTTATAATATTTATATGTATGTTAAGTGTGACGTATTCCACTTTATTGTTGAGTAGTTGAGCTTACATTTTAGAATAATTATTTTTATTTACAACATATAATTATTTATTTTGTTTGTAAACAAATGCAATTTATTAAATATATGAAATATACAACTAGAAAATGTTATTTGAATATAGCACGTCCTAGATAAATATAATATAATTTTATTAAGATTCTGAGTTATGATAATATTATATTGATTTTACAATTATGTGTATTTTTTATTTATCTATCACCTAACTTTTGACCCACAAAAGCAAAACATTCCGAATATTAAAATAAAAAAACTGAATTTTCACACAAAACAAGTTTTTATCAAAATTAATTTTTTTATTTTATTTAATGTTTAATTCAAAATGAATAACCGTAAGTACTCAAAATTGTCCCCAAATTTTTATACTTGCATGGTATATACTATATAATATTTAGTAAAAAACTAATATTTCGACTCATTTTATGCTATTTATAGATATTTAAAATTTTTAATTTGTATATTTTTCTTATTATTGTTGATAAAAAATACTTGGTCTACATTTTAAATATATGAAATTTATACATTTTTTTTGTGTTTAAATTGTTAAAGTTGTTAAACTGTTTAAGTTTTCAAATTTTGTCAAAATTATAACATTTATAATAAAATAATTAATTTGTATGACTAAGACTTGAAAATAATATACTGTCACAATATTTTTTTTCGTAAATTTTTTTAGTTAACATTTTGATGAAATTAGATAGGTATTAAAATTAAATTTTACGATTATTTATTTTGTTGGAATTTAAATGAATTCTTGGAGACTTGAGTTTTTACTTATATTATTACATTAATTATATAATACATTTTTTTAATAGAAAGATAAAATATGAGTTTACATTAAAGGCAGACGAAGTCTTCGTTTGTAATCGTTTTTCATATGCAACGATTAAACACTGAATTAATTCAACACATCCATTTCAGTGACTTAATAACTTCATGCAGTGATGAAGTACAATCGATTTCTTTGTTTAACTGTAGAACAATGCGGTTATTGTTTGCTTATTTGTTCACTTATTAAGCTTACTCTTTATTGTCCTTGCAACTAACGCATCTTTAATAACTTATTGTAATTATTAGGTATAAAAAAATCTTTTATTTATCAATATAATTACGGAGTTAATTGAAAACAATATAATTGTTATTATTGTTTAATCAATACCAATTGCATACCTATGTATTTTAATTACGTTTAGTAGTCTCTAATAATCTGTTTATGATTAATTAATAATTAAACAAAATGATAACATATAATATAACTGTGTTGTCAAATTTATATTTATTGGATACCTATGTAATAATTAATAGGTACTTAATGTATATGAAACTTAGTATCCTTATATTCCTGTCAAAATATTTCATAATTATTATTTACATGCACATTGACATTACGTATAAGTAAGAACCAAGAACAAAGTTCAAAGATAAATTCAACAAATTTCCAAAAATATATATTTTTTATTAGGATCGTTATTCAGGCTTAGATTTATAATTTTTAGAAAAAATTAAACTATTTATTACACAAATCGATTTGAACACTTTCGTGGTAATAAAAATTACAACGGAAATAAAAACGAATATTAAAGCTAGAACATCTAATAAATAGTATTGATACCATCTTAGATTTAATGCACGGGATTTAAAATGTTGTGCACTTTTGTGCCGCAAAACATATTCAGTCCAGTAAACAACAGAATCTGCTTGCGACATTGGTTGATCTTTGAATATTTTTGAAACAGTTTCAGCATTTTTCTTGTATCTATTAAAACATATTACTAATTAGATACCTATTTTTACATATTTATAATTTAAAAGCTATTTACTTTTCATTATTGAAGAGTTCTAAAACATTTCTTAAGAAATTATCCTTTGTTATAGACATGAGGTCCATAGAAATAGCCATCCCCACATTGACTAAATTATCTATATTTCTATGCTGATCGCCAAACAAGGGAAGTCCAAGAACTGGGACTCCAGCGTCCACGGTTTCGTATACCCCAGATATGCCTCCGTGACTGATGAATAATTTCACATTTGGGTTTACTTCAAAATAAAGATGTAAGTACAACTTAAATTGATAAACCAACAGTTTTATTTGACAATATATTACAAAGTATATCACGTTGTGGTAGCCATTTTTTAATCATTACGTTTTTCGGCATTTTTTCTAGTTCATTTTCATATTTCCATAACACTCTTTGAGGAATTTCTGCGAACGCTTCCATTAACGCTTTTTTTATATGTTTCGGTATCGAAGACATCTTTATGGTCGAACCAAAAGTGAAGTAAATAACTCCATGTGGTGACTGTTCAATAAAATCTAAAATATCCTAAAATTATAAACCATAAATAACTATAATAATCAATATTTGAAACAAATGTAGCTATAAATATTTTAATACACTTTAACTTGCACAAGATTATTGTTAATTTATTGGTTTATATATTAAAATTGCATACTTCAGGTAACTTTTGAGGTGCCTTCAAATGAATTCCACCCACGTTAATAACGTTTGTCGATATAGGACTTGGCGCATCAGTTATAAAATGTCTATTTACGAATATTAAAGAAGGTGAGATTGGTTCGATGAAATCATATTGTTTACTGTATTTCAGAATCAATTCTTTGTACGCTTTTACAATTTTGAAGTGAATTAGTAAAAAAATATGTGTTAATCTCTGAATGAAAGTTTTAGAAATGGAATACAAAGAAAACATTACTGTGACCGTTGATGGACTTGAGACATGACCAGTGATTGTGCGATCCATAAAGGGATTAGCCTGCAATGGCGTGACGTAAATTAAAGGCAAGTTGAACTTAGTTGCAATGTATGACACACAATCTGACGCAAAGAATTCAATAATGAGCAGGTCGAAATCTGTGCGCTCACTACTCAATATTTCTTTCATTTTACTATTTTTATACACTTGATCACACTGCATTCTACTCATCATCACAAAATCACCTGTCTTTGTAACCATACTAGTCATCATTTGTTCTAAATCCATATCCATAAATTGTATAGCCCCTCCTAGAGTTGTATCCACTTCGGTATAGTTTTCGCGGTTGCCGTCGGTAAACGGTGTAAAGACGGTGACATTGTGTTTGTTATTTACCAATGCCTGTAGTATACCACTCATGAAATTCCAGTGGCTTTTACCTCCAACTGTCTCCACGGCCAATATCCTTGCACTTGACGATTGTTGTATGCACGAACTAATAAGAACTAAAACCACTATTAAAATAATAATTTTGCACATTTTATTATATGTCTTAATTTTAAATCTATCACGTTAACAATATCGATAATATACGACGTTAAGTATACAATTTACGTGCATATATTAAGTAGTGTAATATATTTAGCGATTACAATAATATTCTTCGATATCGTCGTTTTTCTTGTGATAATTATGAGAAGACACAATTTTTAAACTATAAAATATTTAATATATTAAGAAATTATCACATGAATCCATTTGTTAAAATACTTATAATCATTGTTCATTTAAACATGTATTGTTTAAATGTATTATAGTAAATGTTTTAGTCAAGTATAATGATAAAGTACATTCGGTTTGTACATCCAAATTAAAATAATTTAAAGGTCACCGTAGATTTTTCTAGGAATATTATATGGACTGATTGCGAATAAAAATTAATTTTACCATTATCGGTTGATCGCGTAATAAATAATCGAATGATAAATTGCTATATTGTATTATATAGATAGGTATATTGAATTAATCATTATCGGTCAGTTGTAATTGTGAGAATAGTTTATTATTATCAGTTATAATTTTACTATCTACGGCGGTTGAACTTTTGCTTTGTGCTCATCAAATAAGTATTTTAGACTTAAGATCTGGATGTCAATCACCAGAGACATGGGCGCCCATAGGTAATATTTTAGGGGGGGTCAAAATAAAAAAATTTTCGAAAGTAAGATAGTAAAGATTTAATGTTATTTTTCACATATAAATGTATACACTATACATGCATGTTATATTTTTATTTGTATATATATATATAGTGTATTAATATAATAATTGCCATACGAATAAATAAATAAATATATAATAATTGTCATATGAATAAATAAATAAATAAATAATAATTTTAATAAGTATATAAAAAAATAGAAATTAAATATTATAATTAAGTATATTATTCGGTATCAGTAAATAAGAACTGTAAATTTCTTCGTTTTATTCCAAACATATTAATGACATCCTGAATGAAAGTATCCTTGTTTGCGTTAGGTTAAAATATTTGTAGTACCTATATTGTGATCTTTATAGATTTACCACAAATTATCTGCGATAAATTATTTTACGTATAGGTTATACAGACTACAGAATACGACCTATCTATGATGTTAATATACGATAACAATGAGTATATTTTTATATTTATTTCATATCTTAAAAGTTGATTTCAACAAATAATTTGCCTCGGTAATAAGGTAATATTGTGGTAATATTTTTTCCAGGGGGGGGCAAGTGCCCTGTCTTGCCCCCCCCCCAATGGGCGCCCATGACCAGAGATTTGAAATTTCGAATGTAACTTAAATAAATAAATGTATAAAAATATAAAATATAAATTATGATATTATTAATATAACAATATTATATTAATATTATATAATATTATTATTATAATTTAATAATACTACTGTATTAGGTGATTCTTTTACCGAACTCATTAATTTGAAATTTGTTGGTTTTGAAAGTATTCTTTTTGTATAATTTCTAATTGAAATAAAACAAAATTTTCTTAATAAATGTATATTTTGATACATAAATATCAAAATTCGGATAAGTAGTAAATTAATTATAAGTATTTAAAGTTTTGGTGAGTGGAGTAGAAGACCAATATTTTGTAGTGTACCTCTCTAGTCTCTACGTCATTACTCCCCTTATCAAACTATACATTACATAGATGCAAAATCAGTAATAACTACAGAAATTATCTACTCGGTACATTTATACCTAATTAATACAGTCAACTCGTGATATAACGAATTTTAAGGGACCAAGAAAGAAATTCGTTATATCGAGATACCTATTAAATTCGTTATGGCAAGATTTTAAGAAAAATTCAAAATTTAAATCAATAAAAAACAAATACATAGGTAGATAGATATTTATTTAATAATTGTATATAATTGCGTACTTATGTGTAAAATACATGAGCCATATAACTATATAAGTATGTATTTATTGTTTAATTGTAATATAAATGTGTAATAATATTGCTAATAAAAATATGCTATAATAATAATATTGCTTTTAATATGATAATATCGCTGTGCATTATATATGTGCATTTATTATTTTTAAAATAGCAACATGTGTATTTTTATATATTTTTCGTAGAATTATACATTAGAGGCATGTATCTTATCTTAATTAAAATTTAAAATTCGTAATAGCAAGTTCCAAACTTGTAAAAATTTGTTACATCGCGAGAGTTTTGATCAAAAAAACTTCGCTATATCAAGGAGCCCAAAATACATTACGTTTTTTTGTTATATCGCGAGTTTACTGTATAGTGTAGATATATATTAAATACAAAATACAATTAATCAAAACCTCGGGATCCAGTATACTGGACCATTGATATTTGTGAACCGAATCAAAACTGAAAACTAAACATAGGGATAGGAACACTAATTCTAATACCCTAACTATAAAATCTTGAAAAGAATTCAAAAATCTCATTGCGTATAATACAATTTATTTCAAGGTTTATCTATCTAAGTTTCTACGAATAATGTTTTTAAATTATAATAAAAAATTAACATCGTCATTATCGTTTTTATTTTTAAATAAATAATTTTATTCAAATCTGAACTTAAAATGCCCATTAAAACGAATTGCCTAATGAGTTTATAGTTGTTAGTTGGAAGACTACATCAATTATTTATCAAATATTTCAAAATAATTTTAATTCTTTGATTTAATTCGATATTCGACCGATGTACCTTATGTACCTACACAGTTAAACAAATTTCTAGAAAAATTAAATACAAAACCAATACTTATAACAAAAATAACAATTGTTATGTAAAAAGGTGACATAAGTTTACTAAGCATTTACTTATATTTGAATAAATGATTAATTCAATCATAATATCTATTCAATTATGCATATGCTTGAACATTTTAATGTTTGATACTTTGAACAGTCAATACTGTGTCAAATAAAATAAAACAATGAATTCATTTTACTCGTTAGTGGTAGAAAACATATTATTGAAATGACGACTGTTTTCAAAATAACCCTTGAGCCTATTTTAACTTTAGGCAAGATTTTTGGTTTAATTAACATCTCTTACACATTTGATCCCTCTGGATTATTAATTTGGAATATACACTCAACATATTATTATACATTCCTCGAATGTACACGGATGATTGTGTTTTTAATATTCTCATATTTGGTTTATACCGATGAGTTTTATTATATCTTACATTTTCGTTTGGTTAAATTTTGGATCACTATTATCGCAGCAAGATCATCAGAAATATGGACAATAAAGTAAGAATGATAAATAATTATACTTTAATCATTTAAAGTTTTTAAAACATTGCCGAAGATAAAAATCAATTGCATTCTGAAAAGAAAATAATTTTCAATGAGATCATTATTTAGCTAAATCATATGCAAAAATCGGAGGAGAAGGGACTTGCCGACAAAAATTCCAATAAACCCACCACTAAATGCAATCACATGGATATAAAATTTTGAAATTCTCGTAAATAGTTATTGGATCGTAGGCCACTAAACTTTGAATAATAATAACTCCCCCCCCCCCCCATCAAAAAAAGTCAACCAAATATTGGACTATGAGCTAAATTAACTATTAAATAAAGCTGTAAGTAGAAATTACATTTAAAAAAATTGATACTGAATTTTTCTTTTATTGAAAAACTTAATTATTTCATTTTATTAATATTTTAAGTCAATTTTTGTAAATTATGAATAATAATTATAAGTAATAATATTACATTTTCACAAAGTTGCTTATAAATATTTTTTTTATTTTATGTCATCATTAATATTTTTATGTTAGGTTAACCAAAACTTTAGCCTAATTTTTAATACATAAAAATAAAAATAAATTTGATTACATTTTTGACAAATGATTCGACAATGCATTATTCAGTAAAAGTATTATATTATATAATTTTAATTACAGTTAAGAAGTTGTGTACAATATTATAATTCCAATAAATATTGAAATAAAAAGTATTGTTGACTTATCAACAGTTTTACTATCACTTTTAAGAGGAAAAAAATTAAGATATTAGCATTTTTGTTATTTTGAAATAACAAATTTTAATCGTAAAATTACAAAAAGATTTATTATTCGGCAATATTTAAAAATAATATAATTATAATATATTACATGAAATAAGTAGGTATTATTTAAAATTCATTTTTGTTAATTTTTGCATAATATATATATTTTTTTTTAAGATTGATTAATGGCATTATTCACTTCGATCAAAAACTAGCATTACTTTCACCAGCATTTACGGTTCATCGACATTCAATCAGTAAACATACATGGAATGTCTTATTGGCTTTATTATTTTTATACTTCGTTGGATATGAATTATATGACATATACTTATGGCCACCAAACACATTTGATATTAACACCTTCCTTTTATTTTTTTTCGGAATGCCCTACATTTTAGACTACGTGGTTATTGTAACCGTATGTTTTTATCTCTGTAATATTGCAAATAGATTTCAAATATTAAACGACTTTTGGAGGTGCCTTCCTTGTGGATTAGTATCCGTTCCGAGTGAATGGACGTATTCGGAATTAGCCATGTTAATGGAGAGCATTAGGTTGTTGCACGCTGAACTATCTCAATTGTTCAAACTATTCAGTTTGAGTTATGGTACACTGCTGTTAGTGTTTTTTGTTTGCTGCATTATCGATATTATGTATTTAATTTATTTGATGATTGAGCTTGAAAATGTGATAAAACATATACCATTACACATGTTAAATATTCAAATAGTTGGTTTTTTGATGTCTGTAATTCTTGCTGCCTCGTGGATAAATGAAAAGGTACTAATAATAAATTATATGTAATAATTTCAAATATAATAGAATGTTTTGCAATGCCTATTCTTAATTAAATAATGAATTTAACAACCGTTTTATTGAAAACATTTACTAGGCAGTTATAATGTGAATAATAACTATTCATCTATGTTTGATTTTAGAAAATGAAAATTGTATCACACTTACGATTGATTCCGATTTCAAAATTACCTGTTGAAATAAAAACACAAGTAAGATGTATTTTGTACAATTATTTAATTGGCGTTTAAACTTGCTAAAGTGCAAATATTTTACATTTTAATTTTAAATTTTCACCTGACATAAATAGTCTTGTTATACAAACACTATACGATTTGAAAGAGAGTAAAAAACTTCTTGTCATTGCTATTTCATAATTATGGAAGTATCAAAAATATTTTTTTATTTATTTTATTTTTATTGTGTGATAGCTTAATAAAAATTGGACTTTTATCTATCCTATCAGTTATAATTTATGCTTATATTAACTATGGTTAATTTATGAATAGATCAAAATGTTTATGTATCAATTATCATTACTGAAATCAGATGAAATTTCAGCTTTTGGGTTTTTCAATATCAATTTAAATTTAGTTGTATCAGTAAGTATTTTTAGTACATAAAAATTAGGATTAATTGTCATTAATTTACACAAATTCAATCAATTGTATTATAGATTATAATGTTATTGATGATCGGATTTTCAACACTTATTCAGATGAAAGATCATCCCATTATTTTAGAAATGGTTAAAAACACGCAATTATATCATAGAAATTGGGTAAGAAAACTTAAAAGCCCTGCATGTGGTCTATATGATATCAAGTATATAAATTCAATTTAAAAATTGTAAAATTTTATTTTTTTCTTACGGCCTTTTTTGTTACATATATAATGTGTTTACATTTCAATTCCTTGATGGCTAGAAGTTTATTCACGTATTAATTTTTTTTTTTATGTGATTGATTAAATTAGAAATAAAAAGTATGTATTTATTATATAATTATACAGTTTATACTTCAAAAATTAATATTATTCAATCAAATTTAGAAATGTATTATTTATTCAAAAATAATATTTTTTGTTGTTTATTTTTAAAGATCAGTTTAGGATAATTGAGTAAACTTTATCTCTAATATATCCTGGTAAATATTACATAATTAAAATTCAAAATTAATGTTTACAAGTTTTTAACAAACAAAAACATCAATTATTTCTAAGCGAATTAATTTCCTTCTTACTACATTTAGCATATTTTTTGTTGAACACAACTACTTTGTTTTGATTAAATTTATAAAATTTTATATGGATTAATTGAGTTTAATTATAAAAATTGAATAATATAAATAATATAATATTTACTAACTACTGCGAATAAATTATTGCTAATGTATTAAATGTTTTTATTTTTTTAATATAATCATGATACATTTATAAACTATTTTAATACAAATTGAATAATATATAAATTTATTTTTAGGAAAACGTGTATGCTAACAACTATTCAAGAAATGGTACATCTCTTTAAAAATATAAGTTCATATTTATTAATAACTGTTACATTGATTTTAGACGCTACCTAATAAAATATCTATAAAGTAAAAAATAGTATTATCTTATAATTGTAAGCAACTGTGTACTCGACCCTTAAACTATTCAACAACTCAAAAAATTCACCAATTTATCAAATTTATACTGTTATAATATTTAATATTTTAAATTCATGTACCAGTTTTATAAATTTTATTTATTTTGAATTTTATTTAAACTGTAAATTATTTATTAAAATAGTAATTATTTCACTATACATGTGTGTTCACGCTAAGAGGTACCACTAAATATTTCAGTTCGATGACAGTATTGAAATGGGGTTTTCATTGAATAATAGATAGTACTTAACTACACATTCTCAAACAAATTTCAAATTTTTAACACTTTCAATACGCGCATGCGCAATACAACAATTTTTTTTTTTTAAATGATAACACCAATTTTTTTTTACATATAGAGTATTTTTTTTAAACAATTTATGTTTAAAAAAATTTTTTCTAATTACAAAATTAGCATATAAAACTTAACGATGAAATTTAATATTTACGAGTAATTTGTTTTTGACGAAATTTAAACTAAATTCAACTTATTGTTACTTATTAATATCCAATATTGTTAAATACCTGTTTGCACACAAATAAGATTATAAAAATAACTTTGACAAAATATGCTAGTAGTTAAGATACTAAATCCTGTTCGTTATACATTTATTTTATAAATAAATGTTGATAAATTATTTTTGCTGACTAGTAATAATTATTTTCATAATTTCTAACTAGTCTTGTGATAATTACTATTCAATATTCATGTAACATAATGTTTTATTCTGGTTAGATATCACATCTTTTCCTGAAAAAAATTGTTATTGCTTTAATGCACTGTTTTATATAAAAAAAAATATAAAAATGAATGACAGTGAAAATGTCGAACTTATTCTAATTTTTGACGAATGTAATCGTAGTTCTCGACAAGTAGCTCGGGTGTACGCAGATCGGTATCCAGATAGGTTTCATTCACATCTTAATTATTATGTCCATAGACTTTTACGTGGATTAAATGAAAACGGTCAATTTCCTAGCAATTAAAATGGACAACAGTAGCCTAGACCAAATAATTTTGATGAAAACACTGAATTTCAGGTAATGGCCTAAATACGTGCTTATCCACGTTCGTCAATAAGACATGTATCTCGACAAATTAGTACCTATATCAGTTGGTGTAGTACATACAATTTTGAAAAAAAACAAAATGCATCCGTATAAACCTGAGTTTATCCAACATTTACAAATCGAAGATTTTGAACGTAGATTACAATTTTTGTCATGGTTTAGTGTTCAATTAAAAATTGACAATTTATTTTATAATAGTTATTTGTGGACTGATGAATCTAAATTCACAAATAATGGTATAATGAACAAACAAAACAATAGGTTTTGAGACGATACAAATCCACACTGATCCCGAGAAACTAACTTTCAGACAGGTTGGGGTATAAATGTGTAGTGTGGATTAATTGATGGAGTACTTGTAGGTTCTTATTTTTACAACGGAACACTTACGTCTTACAGGTAGAAGATATCTAGATTTTCTTGTTCATCAATTACCGTTACTGTTAGAAAATGTTCCATTAGCCATTTGTATTTTCAATAAGATGGTGCACCGGCACACAACGCTATCATAGTTAAACAATATTTAAATGATATTTTTCCTAACCGATGGATTGGTACACATGGAGTGATTCCATGGCCAGCAAGATCTCCAGATTTGATCCCAAAGGATTTTTTATTATGGGGGCATTTAAAAAATGTTGTATATGCAGACCCACCTATTAATCTCCAAAATTTAATAAACAAAATACGACTGGCTTGTAATAATTTGAAAGAAAAACAAATAAACGCTGCCACATCAAGGGCATTTTTAATATGTTTGGAATATCAAGGTTGAAACTTCGAACAATTTATTAGATAAAATTATAAAACTTAATTGCAAATTATTAAATCTATATTTCAAATTTATAATGTGTACCTACAATTTTATAGTTTTCATTACTTTAAATTAGTTATTTTGAAAAAAATGAGAGTAAATTACGATAAAAAAGTGTTTATTTATATCTTATCTGTGTGCAAACAGGTATTTAACAATATTGGATATTAATAAGTAACAATAAGTTGAATTTAGTTTAAATTTCGTCAAAAACAAATTACTCGTAAATATTAAATTTCATCGTTAAGTTTGTAATCAGAAAAAAAATTTTTTAAACATAAATTGTTTAGAAAAAAATATTCTATCCGATTATGTTAAAAAAAATTGGTGTTACCATTTAAAAAAAAGTAAGTTGTATGCGCGTATCGAAATAGTGTTAAAAATTTGAAATTTGTCTGAGAATGTATAGTTAAGTACTATCTATCATTCAGTGAAAACCCCATTTCAATACAAAGTCATCGAACTGAAATATTTAGTGGTACCTCATCTTAGCGTGAACACACTGTTTATTAACCTTGCTGTCTATTTGTAATGTATATGTAATATGTATAAATAAAAATAAAAAATAAATTGTCTATCTATATTATCATTGAGTATATATATATATATACTCAATGGTGTTATGTACAATAGTGTACCTAGTTTTATATAGCGAGTAACTATTTTCACAATAGTATTAATTTTGGATAATAATTGATTGTTTTTCATAAAATATTATAATTGTATATTATGATAGAATAGATATAATTGTGTAATATAGTAAAAATTTGTTAAAATTTGTTTATGCTATGTTTTTCCCTCATTATTATAGTAGTAAGTAAAAGCTAACGTATAAGAACATACAATTTTGTCCATTACAACTAATTATCTTCAGTGGTAGCTATTATATTAAAAAAAACTCAAAATGTGTTAATTTGGTAAGTACTATTGAAATTAACAATGCCTATGGTGACTATTGAAATATTTAATTTAATATTGTATACATTGTTTTATATACTATATTACATTATTACCTATCGAAATCGGTCAGTATACAATATACATTTCTAATAACTATACAGCAGAGTGACAGATATACCAAACATGCTCACCTCCATTTTTTTCACTCAATAATGAATTAATTCAAATTATAATTTTCGGAATTTTTAGGTATACTAAACTAGACTTAACCTTAAATTAAAAAATAGAACTTTATATCTCCACAACTCTTTAATTAGTAGAAAAATCTAGTAAAAAATAAGTATATATTTAATATACAATAGCATTGTACTAGTATATCCACTATCCAGATTCCAGATCTATTAGAAATATAAAATATTTTTTATTTATTAATATTCAAATAGAAGGTAGGAACAATACATTTTAAAGTCTTTTAATAAAAATTTTCACTTTTGCTTTAAGGATTAAATCTTTTCAGTACTTAGCTTAAATTATAACAAATTAAAAACCATATAAACCCATCTGTGTCTATTTATATATAATATGTTTAATTTACACTTAAAAATAGATTACCTAAACTACCTAAATATATTAATTGCACCTATTTTTTTTTTTTAAATACACTCATAATATTACAATATTATACATAGTACTCAAATAAGTTCTTATTAAATGACTAGATATCGTAAATTAATTTGTTTAAAAAAAAAAGTTAAAATAATTTGAAATACAAAATACCTCGTAGATATCAATATTTATATATAGAGTGATCCACCAAGCATGTCCCCCCTTTTTTTAATTAAACAATGAATTTATTTAAAATTTAATTTTTAGAATACTTAATTAATAAACTTAGAGATCATACTTTACACAAATTTTCGAGATTTTTATTCTACTTTAGGAGTGTTCTGCTGCGATACAAATATCTATTTTTCAAATTAAAACTACCCCTCTTTGCTGTAAATATTAAACGGATTATGTTTCATTGGACACTATTGAAGTAGTAAACATCTTTAGAATTTTAAAATTTGGTCTTAAGTATACGAGTATAATTAAGAATTACAAAAATCAGGTTTTGAATAACTGTAATATTAAAGAAAATAAATGGCGATTATACTTAGTGCTGTATTAGCTTGTATAATAATAGGAATTTCTTTTTCATTGCATCTCTTTTTTTTTCTTTTTTAAACACAAAGTACATACATATTTTACTGTAATGACAACATTTGAAATTTTAATTCGCTTGTCGTTTGACAAGATTGCGATATAGTGGTAAATATATTAGATAATAGTAGAAACTAGAAATTATAACGATAAACCCATCTACCATATTATGTTAGCGAGTTACGAATCAAGTGTTTATATGTTGAACACATTATTAGTAGGTATACCTACTAGGTATACATATACAATATATATATTAATAATATTTTATGTTTTTTTAATCAAATTATTTGTTTATTTATGTAAACAATAAAATTATGTCAATGAAAACGTAGGTGAGGATAAGACCAAATAAAAAATTAATAATATACAACCAAGGTTTATAATGAATAATTTTGCAGAACAGTTAATCATTTTTGATTAAGTAATCATAATAATGGTTTATTTTGATTATTATTTGATCATAAAACTTATAATAGTTTTAATTTTCAAAAAAAATTTTATTAGAATTAATTAATCATTTTCCTTTCAAATCAACTCTAAAGTATATTTAAATTTTATATAAAATGTTTAGTTAATTTATAATTTTGTGTCGAATAATATTGAAATGATAATAATGTTTTTCGAAATTTCATTACAATTTTTTTTTAACTAAAGAAAAGTTAATGAAAATTACTTTTATAAATAATTTTCCTAATAGAGTGTTAATGTTAGTTAGTTAGTGTTAATAGAATGTTATAACTCAATGATAAGAATTCTAAAAACGAATTGAAGTTTTTTATTTTATCTGAGTAAATGTTAAAAATAATTATATGAGATTTACTCTTTTACATTTTATTAAATGTTTATTAGATTATTAAGATGTCCAAAAAATAAAATTTTACTTTTAAAATTTCTATTCTTTGCAATTTTTGTATTTAAAATTTATGGTAATGAACTTAAAAATGTTGAAAAATCTATCTCAAGTAGAGAAATAAAAATCTAATTTTGTAATTTTAATTTTTCTAATTATTACTTCTAATCGGTTTATTGGAAATGAACAAACAATTTAAAAGTAGTTGAAAACATTCAGTTTATTATTATATTATATAATAAATATTTCTACCTAAAGCCATATGAACAACTATGCATATTTTATTAACTGACATAATAATTGTTTCGATTTTCAAACAATTTATTACATTATAGTTATAGTGTATATTTGTATTTTCAACGTTTTTTAAATGTATATAAAAATAACTTGTATGGGATCTTTATCGCAACAATTTTATTATAGATGCATAAAAAACTAAAAAAATGTCCTAACATTTAAATATCTATAAATAGCACAAAAAGTCAAAATATTTTGAAAATTTTATCATAGTTAGAAAATGCTTTTATAAATATTTGGTGAAAATTTAAGATTAAACAGTTACATATTAATTTTTTAATTACAATACTAAAGCAAAATCAAGTCAATTGTAAACTAATTTTGCGTAAAATGTCTAATTTTTGTTTAATTTTCTCAATTATTTTTTAAAGTACTTTTGATAACCCTACTCCTCCTTGAAATTTAAACTAAATACAATTTTCTACTAGAAACTATCCTTAAATTTTAAGAATTTTCACTGTTCCCAAAGGTAATGGCAAAAAGAAACATACAAAATCATTGTTAAAATACAATAGTTACATTCATCGTTACACTCTGAAGAATCTAAAATACAAACATAATACATTATTCATGTATTTAATAAACCTAAATATTGTGTGCATCAGTTTCTGACTTATTCAAAAACCGTAATATCAACTGCAAACATATTTTCCCTTTCAGAATTTAAGAAATAAATAAGCAAATATTTGCATTACCTCTAACACGACTGCTATACCGTTGTACGTTATTGGTAAATTGGTTTGAATAAATAATATATAATCCAAATTCAATATTACAAAAGAGTCAGTAGTATTTATTATTCTTTCAATTTTTATAAGTTTGTATTAATGAATCGATAAATCAATATCTCTTTAGTTGTGGAGAATATATTGAAATGACGTCTGAATTTAAATCAAATCTGAAACCTATTTTAATTTTATGCAAAGTTTTTGGTTTAATTAATATGTCATATATATTTGAATCTACTGGATTATTAGTCAAAAGTAGTACTAATACAACACATTATGCAATGCTTGAATTAATCCGAATGTACACCTTGATAATGTTTACATATATCGTTTATATTAGAGGATTTTATTACGTAGTATATTTCCGTTTAATTAAATTCTGGATTGTTATTATTACATCAAGATTATCAGAAATGTGGATGATAAAGTAAGATAAATAACATATTATTATTAAAACAAATTTCAAAATTATTTTGACATAAATATATCAGCACTGAATTGATAAGTTATTGATAACCTTATAATCACATTATTATTATTTTTATTACATAAATTTATAATATTTTTTAACAGTTTTCTTACTCAAAAAACATTTATTTAATCTATGCTGTAAATGTTTTTGATATTTCATTTTGTAGAGAATAAAAATTATTTATTTTAAAGTTTATAGTTTTAAATTATTATGATGATGAACTAATTATATATTCATTGTTTAATCATTAATTATTATTTGTTTTAAAGGATATTTAAAAAGTTTTTTAAAGGTGTTATTTTTGTATAATATATTCTACAGAGTATATTATACTAAAGAACCAATTTTTAGCATATTAACTATAAAACTGATTTATTATTAGTGTAACAGTTTTTTTATTCAAAAAATTCTAGCCTATCCTAACATAACCTAGTGATATATTTAATTTATTTTGTTTAATTTGAGAGAAACACTGATTTTATCAAAATTATTTAATTTGTTCAATATTAAATAACCTTAATCTTAATTGTTTAATAATAATATAGTTTGCATTCGTTTTTTTAAGGTTGATCAATGAAATTATAGAGTTTGATAGAAAACTAATACTTCTTTCACCGGCGTTCATGGTGTATCATCGTTCATTAAGTAAAAAGAAATGGATCATTATTTTTATTTCGTTACTTTCATATTTTATCGGGTACGAAGTGTATGCTTTATATTTATGGCAGCTGAAGACTATAGATATGAGTACTGTACCAGTGTTATTTTTTGGTATGCCATACATAACGGATTTTGTGGTTATCATCACAGTTTGTTTTTATCTTAATAATTTAAGCAATAGATTTCAAACATTAAATGATTTCTGGAAATGTCTTCCTTCCGGATTAATCTCTACTCATAGTGAATGGACAAATTCTGAAATAGTTATGTTGGTGGAAAGCATTAGGTTATTGCATGCTAAACTATCTGAAATATTAAAAATATTCAATTTTAGCTACGGGTTATTACTGTTAGGTTTCTTTGTGTATAGCTTCATAGATTTTATGTACATATTTTATTTGATGATATATCATGAGCTAGCTACACCAAAAGTCAGTTTTACCCAAAATATTATAAAATATTTGCCACTACATTTATTCAACGTTCAACTAATAGTTTTTTTGATGTCCATCATTGTTGCTGTTTCATGGATAAAAGAAGAGGTAGTATAAAATTTAAATTGGTATTCTTAACTATACTAAATTTAGCTATAATATACTACGAAAACATGTTACATAATAATAAAATCTATATTAAAATAAAATAATTATAGTGCTATATCGTTAAAATCTTTATTTACTAGGTATTAGGTATGTTTCATTTCAAACACATCATATTTTTATTTTATTTTGTCTTTTCAGAAAAATAAAATTATATCATATTTACGTTCAAGTCGGATTTCAAATTTGCCAGTTGACACAAAAATTCAAGTAAAATATATTTTGTACTCATTACCCATATGCTTACATTAATCTACCTTAATGTTGGTAGTAATTAAAAATAAACACACCTAGAGTCCATTTATATTTCTATAGATACAAATAATATTATTTTTTGAAATCCCTTTACAGTACCTACTTAAATAATTAAATCAAATTATTTTACACAATATCATAATATATCTATTAGGGAAACAATAAACATATGGGTAACAGTCAATAGTTAAAATACATTAGTATTTAATATATTTTCATAAATATATGAGATAAATATGAAGACATTGTTTTAGGATATCTGTAATTAAATTAATAATAACAACATTTAAATAGTGGAAAAAATTTAAAACAAATTTCTTTCATAAATAATTTATTACGAATAGGTAAAATAGTATTTAAATACAACACAATTGTTACTTATGCTGTAGAAATAATCGTGAATAATATGAGACAATATTATTTGATTATTGATGTTTGAACTTTTAGGATACATTTATAACGAATTATTATACTATGGATTAAGAATTTGTCTTATAGTCGCATATATAAGATTATTAGAATAACTTCGGATAATAACCCATTTTCCTCCGGTTAATTTAAATCACACCCTTTGATAAATCAATTTTTATTGCAGTTTTCATTTCCAATGATCGTTAACGACTGAAAAGTCGTTTTATCGAAGGGTAAATGTTGTTAAATTGCAATCAACTAGGTGGTTGTAAAAATACGTGGAATACTGTGGCGTTATACTAAATTTGTTTAGATGCGGCAATATACAATAACTTATACCCACCTACTTCTACATGATATACTAAACCGAAGTTGTGAATGGCAAAGCCCCCCATACTCCACCAATTTCTTAAGCTACAAAATATTATTTTTATACATTATATTTTTTTATTGCCTAATTTTTACATTTTAGTATCATTTAATATTTTTATTGCATTCTATTTTAATAAATAAATACCCAATAAGTACAATAATATTTTATTAGCACAAGATTTATTTATAATATCATTTAAAAATAAGGACATTGATTTAGTTATTTATAATTTGTAATAAGAAATAATATCTTTCTTATACTAGTTTATTTGTACAATATTTTATACTTAACAACTGTAATATATTTAAATTATTTTGAGTGTCAGGATTATCTATCAATGCTAATGTTAAAAAATAAAATGACGCGCTCTCGAATCGGAGCACTTAATGCATGCGTTAGCTACATACATTTTTCCAGCAATCCCAGCTGTACCTATGTAAAATCCCACAGTCCTAGAAATATTATACGAAACATAGTGTAAAAGTATGTGTATTTGTCTATAAAAATTAAAATTAATTTATCCATTAGGTTAAAATGTTTATGAATCAAATAAATATTTCGGAATTTGATGAAATATCAGCATTGGGATTTTTCAATATCAATTTAAATTTAGTCGTATCAGTAAGTATCAACCTATGTTATACAAATCATATATATTTTTATCATTTGAGTATAGATATTTTCCCGTAATACTATTAGACTGGGCAGCACAGAACATCAAAAATTAAAAATATTTTATTTATGTGGTTAATGTGAGCAATCAATGTTTCATTTGTGATTAGTTTAAAAATCAAAATGCATTTTTTACTTAATATTTTTAAATCTAATTAGCCATTATTTTAATTAAATATTTTAGATCCTAAGTATGGTGAGAATTGTAATTTATAGTATTGATTTTTCAATGATGTGTATTTTATTTAAAATCTTTTTTAAGCATTTCATTACTTTTCGGAGCAGACTATTTATTACAACTTTAAACTTTCTGAAGGTGATTAATGGTAGACAATTTAACCTACTTAGAAAATCCAAGTACTTTTCTTGTAGTAACTGTGAAAAATAAAAATATTTACGTAATATTTTTTTTTTTTTTTACAATTCCCTGAATTGAAATTTTTTTTTACAGATACTTGTACTACTAATGACTGGATTAGCGTCATTAATACAATTGAGAAATCATCCAATTATTACTGCTATGTTCAACAATACTTTATCATTCTACACAATTTGGGTAAGTTATTATTAAACAATAATCTTCTAACTTTCAAAAAATTAACTTGATGGCATTTATTTTTTTATTGTGATATATGAATTTTATTTATTTATCACCTTAAAATATATCTATATTAAAAACTTATACGATGACGTGTTACACACTTACATATTTACTTCATTTCTAAAGTCCGGTATAGTGGTATTGATAATATGAGTACTGTAATATTTTAATTTATAGTACTTACTATTTATTAATATCAAACCAATTATAAATGTTTATAGGTATATTTATTAATTTCATTTTAATAATTCCAAGAAGCTTAAATTTTCTTAACAATATCAATGTTTGATGAATAAAAGTTAATGTATTTTTCTTTTAATGTTAAATTTACTATGTTTGTAATATTAATAACTTAAATAAATTAAAATTGTGAATTTTAATAAAAATAAATTATTTTCATATTTCTTCTCGTCTGCTCTGATGCTAATAAAGACTCGTTTTCAAATATATTTCAACCCCACGACGATATTAAAGATCCTTTACACTGTAATAAAATCAATACCTTCCTGAGTTCTAGTTTACCTGAAGCTAGCATTAAAAATATTTTACTTCAAACGAAGTTAAATATGTAATTTCACAATATCGCAATAAAAAATCTTCCGGTTATAATCTAGTCATAGCCAAAGTAACTTGTTGCCTCAACAAAAAAGCTATCGTACTGTTAACTTACTTAATCAACACAATTATTAAATAGTCTTACTTTCCAGTTCTATGAAAATTTTCACATATTCACATATTCACATATTATCATGTTTCTCAAACCCGAAAAAGCGTCTGACGAACCAGCTTCATTCACATCCATAAGTCTACTACCCTTTTTTTCTAAAATATGCGAAAAACTCACTCAAAAGACTAAGTTCTCGTTAAGTTCTTAGAAACATACCCCCTTACTCACAATTTGGATTCCGTCCCAAAGATTGTAGAATTCATTAAATGCATATATGTAGTTGTAAACGCCATTTCTTCTTCACTCGAAAAAAACTTTATACTATACCAGTGTCTTTTTAGAGTATTTGACAGAGTTTGGTACTATAGTTTACTACTTAAACTTCGAAAATGTCTCCCTTCAACCCTTATTCTCTTAATCAAATCCTACAAAACCAATTGCCATTTCCAAATCCGTTTTAACTCAGAATTTTCAAATATTTCTTCAATCAATGCAAGAGTACCCTAAGGTGGTATACTCTACTCTCTTATCTTATTCGATATGTTTACCGTTGACCAATTCACTCTTGTTAATAATATAGTAGCGGATAGTACAAACGAAATATCAATACACGACCTCATTTTATTCTGTTCTCAAATAATTATCGGACTTAATAAACGACTAAATTAGAAGTGTCACCGGCTTCTTCCGTCAACCTTTCATGTTATATAATTTACTCATCAAATATTCTTATTGCGCATTTTTTGTATACAAGTAGATGATCAGGTAAGTTAAGTTATAGGTTAGATCTCAATATAAAAACTAAAAAAAAATTCATATTTTTAAACAAAGGCTAATGTATACATTATCTATATGTACTTACATGATATTATGATAAATTGTTGGACTTACTTACATGTATTGTGAAAACAAATATGTATCTTTTCTAGATCTAAATTCTTTTTTACTATTTTTTTGCTTATTTATATTATGCCTTCTATATTTTAGATTGTGCACATATTTTAATGTTTAATGTTATTTATTGTTTGTTTTATTGATGTTTTAGAAAACTGAAAATTCAGACACCAATCGTTCAAAAAACATTACACTCTAATCAAATAGATTTTAGAACTATACTTCACTTTTTACCTAATATTAATGTTGCGTTAAAAAATAATATTACAATCAATATATTAAACTATAAATAGTGATTTTATTAAAATATACAATATTTCAATTAAATAGTTTTAAAATTTAAGTATAGTTAAGTTCAAGAAATAATCTATTTTTATTTTTATTATTATTTGTAGAATTATAATAGAGTGGAGTTAAAAGTTAAATGAATAAATTGATTTAATAATATCACTGATTACAACTTTAAGCGTATATCGATTCCACTGGACTTTTTATACGTTAAATCCACCGGTTTATATATTGTTTTGCATTTTTACTGAAATTTAATGTTAATTTATAACAAAATAATTTTGTTGAAAAATTTAACAGCAGCATATTATATGTATATCAATTATATACATTTTATAAATTATAAGTATTAGAGGATTGTACACAAATAAAATCAGCATACATGAAAAAATTTTTTCGGGCAATTGGGTACTGTTCTGCTGTACATTTAATTAGGTACCGAGAGGGTCAGAGTAATGAATGTAGGAATTACATTAATGGATTAATGTTCAATGATGTATAATATACAAAAACAATTCTAAGCGGGTAAAACAGCCATTACCATTAAGTATACTTGTACATATATATCATAATATTTATATTATATATATATTTTTTTTATTGCTATTTAAATTTTTTATTTAGTCAAAACCGTACAAATAATCATGACGAAGTTGCTAATAGACGTTTAAATATTCAAAGAGATGTAAAAAATTAAATATTTTATCGTTTATAAATTGTCTTAAAAAATTCAAACAGAAAGAGACGTTTTTTTTTATAAATTATTGGTTACTAGTAGAAGTCCACTGAATAAGAAGAAGAAATATATAGATAATGATAAAATAATTCTAAATTTAGTGTATAATTATGGTAAAAATAATATTATACTATTTTTAAGAGACATTGCAAACAATGTTTCCCTTGGATAACTATTTTTAATGTATTAACTTATTATATAAATTTGTATCATATTTTGTTATCGTTTTTTAATCTGATTTTTATAATTGGTGGTCGGCACCATTAAAACGACTAGCACCAAAATGTCCTAGACTGATAAAAGTGTTGGAGGTGTAAAAACATCAAAAAACTAATATCTACCTTACCCAATAAAGTATTGTACGACCATGAACTTATAAAATATGCTAGTAATATACCTCATCGATTTCATCGATGTGATTACTAGAGATAAGTTGCCCATTCATCCTAAATGACTAGAATCTGAGATTATCAATTTGGATACGGCAAATAGTACAGGAACACATTGGGTAGCGTATAAAAAAACCGGAAAGCAAGTAGAATATTACAACAGTTTTAAATATTTACCATCTCTATAAGAAATACAAAAACTTTTTCACGGATGCACCATTAATTTTAATAAAGAACAAAAAATACTACAAACTGAGGTCACTTTTGTTTTAAGTTTTTATCATGTTCGCGATAACTTTAAACGGAAACTCAGTGAATTGTTATGTATTATTTTTCCACCGTTGGAAGTAAAAAATATAGCGTAGGTTTGTCTTTTGAGTTTGTAGACGAACTATTAAATTTCTATAACAGACCTGATTGTAATACTTTGGGTTTTTGTATTTTATCGGCAAAAATGAGGACGTAATTATGTACCTACTAATTTGGGTTGATATTTCGAAACTGTCACCAATATTGAGCTCTTTGTCCCGATTTCCCGACAAAAGACTAAAATGTCCTGATTGAAACTGTGCATTGCAAATTTCGCTTTATTGCATACAGATATGAATAAATCATCAATTATGATCGTTAATTATTATATGACTTCCACGGAATTCTACTAATAGGTTAAAGGTAAAAAAAACTGTTGAAAAAGCAAAATCTTTTGAGAAATATGGTCATCTAAGTACTTTTGTAATAAATTAAAAATATTTATTTTATATGTAACCTTAATAAATAAACAAATAATTTATCTAAAATAAAGAACTCTAATTTTTATTTCAAAATTGAGTATTTCTATATACTCCATCCTAGAATTTCTAGAACGTTCAGACGATACCCTAGCCAAATATAGCAACCTTAGATATGTGGTAACCAGCGAAGTTTAGGGTCTATAGTGATACCTAAATAAGTAATTTTAGGTACAAAAGAGATAATATTATCATTAAAATATATGCTGAGATTGTTTAGATATCTTGGTTGTGTGAAAATGACTGCGATTTACATTTTTCGGGGACAGCATCAAAAGACACTTCGATTATAATATTATTTAGATCCTTGAGGACAGAATTGTGATTATATCAATACCAAGGTTAAGATGATTATTTGAAGAGAAAATGAACTAAATCGTCTAAATCATCAGCATAAATGAGACATTTGTAACCGGACAGCGAAAGATGTTTTTCAACAATACTCATAATGTATACATTGAGTAGAATTGGGCTAAAACTTGTGGAAAGCCAATAAAAAGTTTGGTAAAATTGATTTTTAAGGAAAGATTAAATCAACACTCAACAGTGAAATAACATTATTTGATTGTAGGCGATATACTAATGTTGATGTGCGTCGACGCGTAGTGCAAGTGTGCAATGCATGCAAAAACAAGTGGATCTTCCTTCAACTATAGAACTTGACTTACTAATACTTATTTATTGCTTCTTATCGGATTAATCGTATTAGCCTGTTTAAAAAGTTTTACAAATTGTGCGTTTCGGATCACTTCATTGGTGTGAGGCCGAAAACAACGTCGATTGTAATTCTATATCAAAACTGTCACGGTGACTAAAAAATATAATAAAGAGGGTAGAAAAAAAATGAAAAATTTTTGTGAGGTAGGGTATGGATGTGATTAGTCGTAAACGTTTAAACTAATCCGGTGCAGACTGACCCCCGTTAGAGGGGCCAGAGAGCACAATGGATCAATGGTGTTTATATACAATTATATAGTGTCTAAATTTGGTGAGTACTACTTTACATTCATTCTGTACTACTTTCTAGGAAAGTAGAAGGTTGCCGTACGGCTTGGTTGACGTCGACTACCACGAGCTTCCTCACATCGGGCTCAACCGATTTAATCGTATATATATGTAGCGATGTTATTGCAGTAATAACAAGTGAGAGTTAGTTTTTACACTGCACTCTAGCCGTGGTATGCTGCTACCGGCTTTTTCGTCATTGGTCATAATAATTGCAGCTAGAGCGCAGTGTTCTCATCAACTCGTCGTTAAACGGCACTATTGTACTTGCCTATTTAGTTCGTACCGAGTTGTTTGCGTTCTAGAGAATGGTACTATCAACACTGGTTCATTCGAATTGGAGGACTTTGGTCTGTTGTAAAAAAACTTGACGCCCGAAATTCTTAAAATTGATAACAAATAGCAATACATTAAAGTGTATGATATTATCCAGTGGCCATGAAATAGATTTTTCAGTCGAAAGTAGTATTGCCAACCAATTGTGCGTTTCGAATCATACTCTTCATTGGTGTGGGGCCGAAAAGAACGTCGATTGTAGTTCTATATCAAAACTGTTACGGTGACTAAAAAATATAATAATAAAAAGGGTAGAAAAAAAATGAAAAATTTTGGTGAGGAAGGGTATGGATGTGATTAGTCGTAAACGTTCTAAACTAATCCGGTGCAGACTGACCCCCGTTTAGAGGGGCCAGAGAGCACAATGGATCAATGGTGTTTATATACAATTATATAGTGTCTAAATTTGGTGAGTACTACTTACATTCATTCTGTACTACTTTCTAGGAAAGCAGAAGGTTGCCGTACGGCTTGGTTGACGTCGACTACCACGAGCGTCCTCACATCGGTCTCCACAGATTTAATCGTATATATATGTAGCGATATTACTGTAGTAATAACAAGTGAGAGTTAGTTTTCACCCCGCGCTCTAGCCGTAATATGCTATCGCCGGCATTCTCGCCATAAGTCATAATAATTGCCGTTAGAGCGCAGTGTCCTTATTAACTCGTCGTAAAACCATCATTATACCTATTTATATAGTTCGTTGTATTCGTACAAAGTTGGCATTCTAGAAAATGGTAACATCAACACTGACGTCTGGTTCATTTAAATTAGAGGATTTAGAGTCTATCATAAAAATTTGATGCTCGACATTTTTCAAATTGAAAGCAAACAGCAATACATTAAAGCGTATGATATCCAGTAGCCATGAAATTGATTTTTCAATCGAAAATAGTATTACTAAATTGTCGAGTTTTAAAAACGTCGTATACACTACCGGTGCTACTCGTGAATCTAAAAATACAGTTCTATAAAATATCTTATTTATACTATTTATCAGATAATAACAATTCAAATGATTCAATTTTTGACAGTGTTTGCACAATCTATTAAAAATGCTGGATAGCGGATATAATAGAACGAAAACTATTAATGATACAAAATTAAACGTAATTGAAATTTGAATTCTCGTCTCTTGAATATTTTCTCATAGCCCACTCTGTTTTACTATGCCGATTTAATGTTGCAATAACCCCTAAATTCTGAATATTATCAATTTAATACACACTGGCAACAGTATGGTTATTATTCAAAAATCATTTAGTCAGAAAAATTTAATAAACATAATATGTTCCCATGTATGTAATTTATTTCTAATAATATAATCTACGTAATTCTAATAAAATACTAATAACAATAATAGTAACAATAATACATATATTATGTAACATAAAATATTTAACTGGGTTTAAAAAATTTGTTTATTGTGTTTCTTTTTAAATTTCCAATATCTGAACTTTTGAGTATCCGAACTAGGTGCAGTCCCAATTAGTTCGGATAATCAAGGTTCTACTTAATTGTTTTTGTAAGTTGAAGGGTCTCAAACTGGTCGGTGTTGGTGAGTTGCGACCCAGTTCCAAAATAAGGTACGAGTTGCGGCCCGGGTTACAAAGGGTACGTACGAATTGCGGCCATACAATAATAATTTATATGTGGCATCCACATAGTGAAACCACTCATTTCATAAACTAGTGAAATTCGACCAGATCGTGAATTTTGACGAAAATACATTATATGGACATACCAGCTATATCGTGTACTTTGTGTAATTATTATTTTATTATATAATGGTTCATAAACTATCATTATACATTTATATGTATATTATATTTTATTATATAAATAACTATATTTTAACAAAAGTATTTTTATTTTATTTTTCACGATTGATTATGTCCAGTGGCGGCTCGTGGTGACAAAGTAGGTGGTGTGCAATTATTTCAAAAGTTGATTAAACAAAAAAATAATCAGTTCAAAATATAAATGTAATTAGTAAAATATTTATTAGCATTTTTAATTTTTATATAAGTATAGTTTTAGAAAATTATATTACATATTATGTAGGTATAGTATATTATTTTATTTATTATCACAACAGACAACATGTCATAACTAATAATATTAAAATAACAAAAAAACAATAAAACTAAACATTTTTATATGTGAAGTCCAGCCTTCTCTCCTTGGAAGAGGCAAACAGTTCTATAACTTTATTGTTGAAATCAGCTATATTCATGACAAAGTTTTTTTCAACAGATAACATCGCTAATGCTGATTATCTTTCCTGGTGCATTGTATTACGTAAAAATGTTTTGATTCTATTTAATGTAGAAAAACACCTTTCTGATTCTGCTGTTGACATAGGTATTGTAATAATAATTTTTAATAGCTTCATGCTCTCACTGAATGTACAAGTAAGGTTTTTAGATATAATAAATGATAGTAATGAAACTGCTCCACTCATAGTTCTAAACTCATTTCTACTATAGATTATTTGTAATTCAGTTTTTAATTTTTTACTGTCAAAATATGGGTATACATTTATTATTTCATTGAAATAATCTTCTGGAAAATGCTCATCATATTTCTCAAAATTATCAGCCAAAAATAAATTAGAAGCAACTAGATGACCAGTAAAATCAAAGCTTTGTTTTATTTGAGATATATTATCACATACTTCTATTGCTTCACGTTTCAATTCATCACCCCTGTATTTTTGTTTATTATTATTTTGTGCAATATTACTATTACATAATGTTTCCATTTGGTTTCTAATTTTGGAGATCTCTTTAATAAAACTATCAATATTATTTTTCACAGTTGTTGAATCAGTTTCTCTTTTTTGTAGTTGATTATACAATATACCTACATGAGGCATGATACTGTGAAAAACTGTAAGCCAAGAAATAAATACGTCATCAAGCAATGTTCTTTTTAATCCCGATGCCTGTTCAATAGTCTGTGTATATTTAATGGATTCATCACTAATTATTTTATCAATACAAATAATTAATTCTTCTCTATATTCAAATACAGTATTAACTATTCTAGAATGAAAATTCCACCTTGTAGGTGCTGCTTTAGGTAAACGTTTTTTAACTACTTCATCCAATATAACAGTTCTTTGAAATGACGTTGAAAAAAATGAACAAAAATCTCCTAGACTGGCAAAAAAGATTCGAACATTCCTTAGCAGCATTAGCCATAACTAAATTAAGTTGATATGCGTAACAGTGTACATAATTAGCATTAGGATAATTTAATTTAATTCTAGTCTGAACTCCGTTAATATTTCTACTCATGACTAAAGCGCCGTTATATGTCTGAGTAATTAATTTATCAGTTTCATTACCTATATGTTGGTCAAGTTGTTCTTTAATACATTCAGCTAATACTTCAGCATTGTGCGCTTTGAGTTTTAAAAATCCCCAAAACCTCTCTACAACTTTATCTTTAACAATGTACCAATAAATAATAACCATTTGAAAAATAGCACTAACATCAGTAGTCTCATCAGCTGTTATTGACAAATAATCAGCTTTTTTTATTTCTAAAGATATTTCTTGCTGACAAATATTTAACATACATTTTAATAACTCATTCTGTATAGTTTTTGACGTACCTTTAAATACGGTTGCTTTTTCTAAATGAACTTTCAATGCGCTATCTAATTCCGCACTAAAGCTTATTAAACCACGAAAAATGCCTGGATTCAAAGATGTATCTTTTTCATCGTGTCCCCTCAATGCTAATTCAAAAGCACCACAAAATTGAATGCAATTAATAATGATATTTAAAATATATCGATTGTTGGAAACCTTCTCGTTATTTAACTCAATGCCTAAGTAAGAAAAATAATTTTAATGACGATAGTTTTAAAAATTATACAAAATAAATACCTCTTCTATAACCGCTATCTAACATTGAAAGAACATTTGTTTTACTCAATGTAGCCAAATTTAAAGTGTTATTCATATGTTTAACAGTTAAATCTGTTTTTTCATTCGATCATTTAAACTATTTAAATCTCTCATTCCTGTTTTGGTCCATACCAATTCTCCTCCAAATAATAAACATGGAAAACAAAAAACTGCATTTCTTTTATCACAGCCACATAACTAATTATTATATTTTGTATAAGTGTCATTTGTAAATGTACGAGTAAATTGGAGTGTTTTTTTTTTTTAATAACTTGAGTTAATTTTAAATCAGGCATAGGCCTTCCTAATGTTTTTTTATTAATTTTTTCATTTAGAGTATGTAAAGAAAACTTTTTTTCTAAAAGATACTCAACCGAATTCATAATTAAAATATAATAAAAATAAAATAATAGCCTGGGTAACGCAAAAGAAAACTGCAGTACACAATATAATCAGTGTCACTGGCAAACAACAACTGACAACTAATATCATTTAATTTGATAAAATGAAATAATACTTTAATAGCAACAATAGTAATGATAAAAAATATTAAAAATAGAAAAACGGTGGTTTACAAATTAGAGTGTAGCCACCACTATGCGTTTTAGCGGGTCCGGGTAAAACTGATGCGTTTTGACCGGACGGTATTCATTATGTCACACTATGCAGCTTTGTTCCTACCAAAAAAGCTTTCTCCCACCAATATTTTCATGGACCATAAGTCCATAACAGTTCAAACAGTCTTATAAGATAGACGTATGATTAATTTAAAAATTATTCAGTAAAACATCTACTGTTTATATTAACCTGTTTTTTTTTAACTTACAAATTTAACCATCATTAGTGAATAGGTAGGTACATAAAACAATATTCATATTATTCAAACACTGGATATTTTTAAATCAAAAAAATTTGATATTATTTTACAAGTAAGTAAAAAATGTATAGATATATTATATATATTATATTTTAATTTTGTTAACTTTACACTTTTACAATATATTAATTTATACATAGGTAATATAATTTATAAGTTATGTTTAAAAATGAATCAAAAAAGGATTAAAGTTATTGCTGTAACTGAGGCATTCGGCTTATTAGACGAACCTGTAGAACGGAGATACTGAGTACCTACAATGAATAATAATCGAGAAAAGAGCGATCAATTATTTATACATTTTTTTGAAAATATAAGATGTTACTCAGAAAATTTTTTCGAATATTATCGAATGTCAGTCTCAAGTTTTGATGAGCTATTGGAAACTCTAAGACCTCACATAAGGAAAAGTATTACAAAATTTTGTATTCCTATCTGTGCTGAAGAACGCCTTACAATTACTTTGAGGTAAGTATTTCAATATGAACAATAAATTAAGTTTCTTATGTTACGAAAGAAAAAATTCAATAAATGTTGTAATTTTTAATTATTTAATTGAATTAAAAGAGTGTCCTTTTCAATATCTGACTTAGATATAATATAAAATGATAAAATAATAAAATAAATGTACATAACAATCTTTAACACAAATTTAATTATATTATAATAAGAGTCCTTTCAATATCTAACTTAGATATAATAAAAATAATAAAAAAAAAAATTGCACATTAACAATTTATTTTAATCATATTATTTGTATTTCTCTTTGTTTTGAATGCGTTCAGATTGCTCGGAAGTCATTGGATAAGAAGAAGAGGTATAAGGGTTGTTAATTTGGGAATACGGTGGATTGAAAGAAGTTTCGTACTGTGATAGAGAAGTTGACAGGGTAACTGCAGATTGATTGTCGGGGAGACTATATGGTAAATATGAAAATGATTGATTTTGAAATGAATATGATGAGGATGGAGTGCTTCGATGTAAATTTGAAGGAGTTTGATTACATTGGAAAACAGTAGATTGAGTTTCTTTGGTTTGCATAGAAATATTTAAAAAAAATTGTAACGTTAGTAATCGAAAATCCATTTTTTGGTCACAATTTAATTTTTTATAGTTCGGTAATAAAGAAAATAAAAAGGCTTTATCTGGATCAGAATTTACGTTGTTTTCTTCAGGTGAGGAAGCGGATAACGAATTTAAAAGAGCTCTTTGAAATTGTGTCATTTGATTTTTTTTTTCAAATTTATTGAAGTTTTATTATTAATTTTATTGTAATTTGAAGTCGGCATTATCGTCTCATCCCCTTCAAACCCATTTGTATCGACATTCAGATAAGAATCTGATTCTTCGTGCTCTTCTTGTTCTTCAGTAAAATTAGTCATCGTTCTATTTATATATTGTTACAATAAAATAAAATAAAATAAATTATAATTTTTTGTATATTAAATAGTTTAAAAATTAAAAACTTTTTCAATAATTTTTTCTTTAAACTTAGGGAGATAGGTACTTTCCTAACTAAAAACAAGTTTCAATATAACATATACATTTAAAAAACTAATTTAAATTTTGTATTTTATAATATTTTTGTTTATTTCAAATTTACATTTTTTTAGTTATCAATCTAACTTAACTAAGCCCTAAACCGATAACTAAATACTTATTAATAATTATTAATTTTATTATGTGTTAATTATGAAAAATAGTCGTTAAAATATATGGAATAAAAAATTTTTTTACCTTCTTTTTTGAATTGTATGTTGTAAAATAGAAAGGGATTCTGCGTATACATATTTTCTTTTTTTAGCACTATCGCCACTTTTTGCATGGTTTAAAAATTTTGAATAATGGTCACGAATATGCCGCCATTTAGTTTTCATTTTTTTAACTATAATTAATATAAAAATTAATACCTTATAAAAGAATTTTAAATTTTGTTAAATACTTACATATTATATACTAATTATTTTATTATTTATCTATTATTATAATTGTTGATATGTTATTAATTTTAAATTTTTATTGGAGTAATGATTTTTTTGATTTTACAATGATTTGTGTTTTTATCTTTATCTTTTTTTGTATCTGTATATACAAAAAAAAAAAAAAAATGCTTAATTAATTAAAAATTTGATGAAAATTCCATGTATAAAACCTTCCATAGTTATTTTGTTTTGAATTCAACAAAAAAAAATCGATTTTAAATTTTGACCTCATAAAAGTTAAAGTTAGATCCAAATTACTATTAGAAACTTTTAAGTTGAAAATTGAAGTATGTTTTTGACTGCTTATCGTGTATATAGCCATAAAAAAAAGATATACATCATTGTAAAATCAATACATTCATCGTTCAGAAATCAAAATCTATATCAATAATTTATTAAACATGTATTCTAAAAGTTTAAATAACTGTCTTTTTTTTTTTTCATTTAAGATATTTATCGACTGGCACCTGTTTTGTTGCATTGAAATTTGATTTTCGAGTTGAAAGGAGTACAATCGGAATAATAGTTAAAGACACTTGTCAAGCATTGTGGACAGTTTTACAGCCAAAAGAGATGCCTGTGCTGACTATGAATGATTGGCAGGATATCTCGAATGTATTCTATCTTAAAACAAATTTTCCGAATTGCCTAGGCGCTATCGACGGCAAACATATCCGATGTAAAAATCCTAGTAATTCTGGATCATTGTTTTTTAATTATAAAAAGTTTTTTTCTGTTGTACTTATGGCTATAGCCGATACCAATTTATAATTTATAATAATCGATGTCGGATCTTATGGTCGACAAGGGGATTCCAATATATTTAAGGATTGTCCATTCGGTAAAATGTTATATGCAAAAAAACTTAATCTTCCGGAGCCAACTCTTTTACCAAACACAGACAGCAGTCCACAACCATTCGTTTTTGTTGGGGATGAAGCTTTCGCCCTACATATAAATTTATTAAAGCCATATCCAGGACGTAATCTTACTAATACTCGACGTGTGTTTAATTAACGATTAAGTAGAACAAGGCGCACAGTCGAGTGTGCTTTCGGAGTTTTTGCAAATAAATTGCGGGTGTTGCATACTCCCATACAAGTGGAACCTGAATTTACTGATAATATCATTAAAGCATGCTGTATATTGCATAATTTTGTCCGTAAAAAAGACGGAATTAATTTTGAAGAAGCTGAAACTCATAGCTTGGATGACATAGAAGCTCGTGGAACAGGAACTCGTTCAGTTGGTATTGAAGTGAGGGATTACTTTGCCGACTATTTTATGGGCTCCGGTGCCGTAGATTTTCAGAACAAAGTCTTATAAGTTATTTATTTTAAAAAAAATATTTTTTTATTTTTATTACGTATATTTGTAGGTACATTAAATAAATTAAAAATAATTACTAATAATATAATATGAAATTATATTGTAAATTACCTTTAGTAAAAATATTTTTAAAATATAGCATATTCTACTTACCTATATTTTTTTTTCAGTTTCTATTTTTTCTGTCCAATCTGGATACATGCATTCTCCTACATTCAGCCAACTTTTTTCTTTTATAAACCTGTCCATGTATTCAGTACTGCCCATTTCCCAAATAGACGGGTTATTCTGAATACATGATATAAACTTATCGATATCAAAAACCATTTTTAAATAATTATAAAAAAAATACTGAATACAGGTAAGTTTGGCTACTTTTGTTTTAATTCAAAAACACAACCGCCAAAACGGACAGTGTGTCATGCGCGGTATGATATAATGTATTTTGTTTACTCATCTCACCCAACCGCAACATGTTGCAGTCGATCAGCGACAAGAATCTACCGGTCCTGACAAAACGCTCTGACATCTATGATAAGAAATAATGTTTCTCCGGTCTACCGGGTGCGTTTTACCCGGACCCGCCAAAACGCATAGTGTGGCATAACTCTGAGAATAAGTCAATGCGTCGCTGGATACGTTGCGTTATCTTTCACCGTGTGTGTGTTTATCGGGTGCGACCGCTTGACGAGTGTGCAGTAGGAGCTGCACACCAAAGTCACATATAATTGCCCCACTCAATAACTAAACGTATTTTACACTGACGGGCGGTGTTCAGACTGTGCACACCAATTGATGTGTATTTGTTATATAACTCGATTAAATTTTAGGAGTATAATAATAATGAATTGTCGTTTTTGTTTTTAAAATTTAATTTTTTTTTATATAATAAATACCTAAAGGTTAACAGATATTGTATTAAAATTAATAAATTAGTATACATTATTATTACACATTTTTACTATTATATCTAAATTAATCTATATGGTGTGCGTGTACCTGCACACCTAGGCACGAGCCGCCACTGGATTATGACATTGACTGTTACCTATTTATTATTTCATAATATTAATTATATGATTTGCAACAATGATCCAAATAATAAGCAAGAAACCATCTAAATATTTCTATAGTATTGGCTTATGCCTAATGAGTAATGACCATTAAACTTATCTTTTTATCTCTCGTAAAACGAAGATCCCTTTTAAATAAAACAACATATTACTTTAATTTAAATTAAAGTCATACCTAAAAAAAAAAAAAATGGTAAAATATCAATGTAATTAAGGAGCATAAAACAGAGTAAGTATTAAGTGAGTGAAGATAATATTATAATTAATAAATAATACAATTAAAAATATATTAATAAATAAAAGCATTTTTTATTTTATCAGTCGGATTCATTGAAACAATTAAATATAAAGTTTTACAAATAACGTAACAATTATAGTTTAAATGTAATAACATTATGAAATAAATTATCCTAAACAAATAATAATAAAAATAGAATATTTAATGATAAATCTCTTAAAGGTTAGATATTTCATGAAAATATAAGTCTAAAAACATAACACGAGCTAAATAATAGGATTGGGGCATGGATTTTAAATAGTTTTCATGACGAGACTTTAATTTATCTGATATTTGTTGAAACCAAAGTTGCAAGATCGTAACTTCCGATAAATTCTGAAAAATGTATAATTAAAATATTAAGTTTTAAATATTACTCTTGGAGACTAAAATACATATTTTGTTTTTCAATTACCTCATTTTTCAATAAAAAAGATTTGACATCACCTAAGTTATCAATTTTATTCATTAAACTCTTATGATTATAAAGACCAAATATTTTTACATTGACATTAATTGGCATATTGTTTTGAAATTTTATAACTTTAGCAATTAACTCCAATACATCAGACTCAATTGATTGGAAAAAGTGATCAATTGACATATGTTCTGGTGAGAGTATTCGACAACTTAAAAACTGATTGTCACATTGAACACCATTTATTTGTATTCTTTCATTCTTTAAATAACTTAGTGATATTTTATGTGCAGTTGTCTCTAGATGATACTCATAATTTTTTTGTATTACATAAACACAGCATTGTTTACATCGTATCAACTGCAAGGGTTCAGTCTTTTGAAGATTATCTAAAAAAAATTAAAAAATATTAAAACTATTGATTTTTTATATATAAAGCCAATACACAGAACCAAAACAATAGATCTAGTAAAATAACACAATATGAATTTTTCAAACAATTTTTGGGAATTATTTTCTTATACAAGTGTCAATTAAAGAGTATAAATAAATAGGAATTAACAAAAAATCATCACTACAAAACCAACACATTTCATGTTTCTTTCTTTCTGATCTAAATAGTTTAATGAACGTTAAAATTACTTGTAGAACCAAATATAATTTTAAAAAAATTAATTTTTATTCTTATAAAATAATTGTTTAGCGTAATTTATTTATGGAAACATTAATTTAAGATTACCTGTATTAATGTGATTATCATTCATTTTACTATTATGACTGGTCTCACTAAGTGATTTTGATGCAATTTCATTTTCAAATAACTTTTTTACTATAGTTATTTCTACATAAAGTGTTTCTTCTAGAGTCCAACTATTTTCTGAAGTTCTCAGAGCATCACTTTGAAATGAAAATGAATTCACAATATCCTCGTACAGCTCATATACATCAGTGTTTTTGGTCAATTTCTAAAATATTAAAGTAATATAAAACCTGATTATTGATAAATCAAAAAATAATGTAAAAATAAATATACCTTATTATATGCATTAAAATATTTTACTTCAGCAATATTTTTGTTTTCTACATTCAAGCTGTCTTCATGAAAAAGTGCAAAAAAACATATATCTATCACAAGTGCATTGTGCTTTAAAAGTAGATGGTTCACTAAAATGGCAAAATCTAACTTGATAGATTTAAAAAACTCTTCTATAGTAACACTAATAGAACATGAAAATATTCTATAATTTTCAAAATCAATACGGTCTTTAAAATATTCTTCACATGCAGTTAAGTGTTCAGTAGTTTGAATATGTTGATTATAAAAGCATACATCAAAAAATGTTTGACATACATTACATAGAATTTCCTCATTTTTATTTTGAGAAGACATATCTGAATGATCTAAGAAAAAATAAATAAAAATAAGTTAAGAATAAAAGTTTAATGGATTTACATCTAAATTTAAATTATATAACATGAAATATGTTTAAAAAAAAAAATAACTTACTAAATTGAAAATGTTATACAAATAACACAAAATCATAAGTTATTAGCATAAATAAAAAGGAGATACTACTATAGAGAGAAGATAAATAGAAAGAACATATATGGTTATATGGTGTTTCCCAACCTATGAATTGTAACCCAAATGTTGATCATGAAACTATTTTAACAGGTCAAAAGCATGTTACATGATTAAAATATTAAATTAAAGGTATAATTATGCTAGTTAGTTGTACCTCTTACAGAAAACAATAAAACTAGAATTTTATTTTTAATGTCTTTTAGAAGAAAATGCTAAGATTCTAAAAAAATATTACCACATCAAAAAAATTGGAAAACACTATTCTAAGCAACAAAAAAAATAATACAATTACAAGCATAAAAAAAATTGCTTAATCGAGTATTTTAAATAATATGAAAAAAAAATATAAACACAGATAAATTATTGTTACAAAGCAATATCTTTATCTTGTAAGAGGTTTATAATTTCTACCTTTTTTTTTTTTTTAAGTGACACAATTTGTTTACAGCTAATTAGTTCTTATACTACTAAAAAAAAACCGATAAATATATAAAGCATTAATACTAAGTCAATACATAATATCAAAACTTACCATGTTTAATTTGCATAACTTCATTTTTTTCTACATTTTCGATAGTATTAGTAACATCAACAGTAACACTTATATCTTTAAAACATATTTCTTCTGAATTTTCATTGTGATCAATAAGACTAACAGGCTTGACTACTTTAAATTCTTTTTTATCATTAATATTTGACATTTTGATAACTGTAAATTATAGTCTATTATATAATCTATTTAATTAGAAACTAAAAATTATCTTCTAGTTTCAATACAAATTAAATATACAACAACTTTCAATGAAAAATAGATATATATTTTATAAATTATTATAATATTGTGCAATTATTTTTACCATCATCAAAAATAGTCACATTCTGTTCGATAGTTTCTATATTTTTTGACAGATTATCAAGATTAATGGAATTGATATTTTCAACATCAGTAAGTGAATGTAATGATTTTGTTTCAGATGGATGAAATGTATCAATTTTATTTAAACCTTCAAAACCTGAAACAAAACATATCTTAGAATTTTGTGATGGGTACAAATTTATTATCAAATTTTATCATTTCTAACAAAAAAATATACTATACATTAAGTGAAGTTTTTACAGATCTAAACAAAAACAAATGGTTAGCTGACTATTCACTGATTAAGCAATCAGATATGGCATATAAAGTGCATTCATTATCAAAGATTCAAAAAGGGATTTGTACTAAAAATGTATTTTTCAGAAACTAGAAACACTAGACCTTTGAAATATTTGGTGGGTAAATAAGTGCATACATTTTATTTAATAGTTTTCTTTCGGTACTGTCCACAAAAACATTCTTATTATTTTAAACATTTATTAACACAATGACTGCTGGCGGTCATCTGTAATTCTCAAATTTTATACATTTGTGAATATTACCACACCACATAACCGCTGGCGACCATAAATTAATTTAGTTTTATATTATTATCTTTTCTATTGCACTACAATAATGCACCAAAATAAGGACTGTGGCGTAGCAGGAATTATTACAATTATTTTGGCATAGGTAGTTATAATCCATTTTTTTTTTAAATATATAGTATATACAAATTTGGAAAACATTGAAAAATATTTCCTGGCGTATAACAAATACCTATTGAATGACTGCCAATGGTCATGTGGCAGTCAACGTGTTAATATTGTTTGTAAGATAAGATGAACAATTTTACTTTTGAAATTAGTATATAAAATCAATAAATAAATAATATGTAATATAATTATAAATAAACTAATACCTAACTATAGAAAAATTGTTAAACGTACAATGTAAATTCTAGATAAATTTCAAATTTTCATGAGTGTATTAAACTATGTTAATATGTTAATATGATAAAAAATAACAAGGGATATGAGTACAATCCTTGGTACAACTATTAAAAATAAGTTATTATTCTGTAATTTGTTATTTATACTAAACCTCTAGTTCTATGATAATTAATAAAAATAGTTATTAAAAAGTGAAACAATTTTAAACATACCTAGATAATGTCAATAGTAATAAATTAAGAAAAATATACAAATAGCTATTAAATATTATAGAAATTCCAGTGGAAGTAATATTAATAGTTATCACTTATAATGGTATTGGTGGATGTTTGGTATGTCAAATATAAAAGATGCACTCAGTTAATTTTTCAACAGCATACAGTATATAACAATAATCTCTTCACAAGTTGTCATAATTCATAAATAATAAGTAATTTTAATATTGATTATTATAATACTTACACTGCAATTTAAATTTCAAGTCATCTAGAGATCTCATATCTAATTTATTAACTCAATAAAATTAGGTTTAAATTGTAAGGCGTCAAACTCTATTAAATTTTAATTTTTTAATTCCATAAAATATATTGAAATATTAGCTATAAACTAACCTACTTTTCTCCCATTGAATTTTATTTAATATATATTTTATAAAACAAGAAATATGTATCAACGACTAAAGTGTGGAACCAAGTTTTTCATTTATTTATCAATCAGCAACATGCAAAATGAAAACAAAAAGCAAAATCATATTTAGTAATTGCTCTTAACACTTATCTTACTAAAACCTAATGGCCAATATCAAAATTTCAATTTTAGGCTAGTCAAAACCTCAAATAATATGGTAGTAGCTATTTAAATACAGGTTATCGTTAGATAAACAAAATATATATTAAGACAACAAAAATCCTTATAACTTGAAAATTAAAATCTAATAACAATTGATTAATAACAATAATAACAATAATATTATCATGTTCACAAAACAATTAATATGTAATACCCTCATACAGACGTTATTCATAAAATATATTACAAATGACCTCGATAAGATTTGATTCATAGACAAAAATTGTTGATCCATCAATGAAAAAAAATACACAGTCCAAACAAATCATCAACACTCCACTCACTTGAAACAGTCGTTGGGTTCATTAGGCTCGTAGTAAAGGACGAAGGCGTCGGCTTCGGTTTGACTATGTCAGCTTTTGTCTCAATCTGTCTAGATTTTTCTTTACCTTTCACTGACTGAGGCGGGTGATTATGTGGTCGTCGAGGTACAAACGCTGTAAGTCGATTGCAGGAGATATCTCGGAACACAGCGATCCGCTTCCGTCGCCACCGTTTTGTCCGAACAGCAGTCGTGGCCATTTGTCCGGTGCAGCCACGTTTCGCGCACTTCCATATCGCCCAATTACCGATTTCACCCGTCCATTTTTTTTCGTACGTGTAACCCTCATACTCCACAACTTCACTAGGCTCTGAGTCACTGTCGAGCTCCATTATACTCACAGCTGTGAAGTCCGATAGACAAGATAATCCTAACCTAGTCTGGTCTAGACTCTAGACAATCACGAAGTCCGCCATTCAACGTTCATCAGTCATCACCGAGTTCAAGACTGAAGACACGTATGTACGGGACTGCGATGAGATAAACCACGATAACAATATTGATTGTTAACTGCTAGCGACAGTTAAAAGGAATTTGAAAGACAAAACACGAGTGCAGCTTATCGCAGTCAGATGGGTTAACCATAAACTGATAAATGGTATTATTTGAAACATGGCCATGGTTATAGGTAGTGTAGACTATGGAGGTAAGCCATTGGACCTTCACATTTGTAACTACGGAGTACGAATAAATTCCAAAAAACGACATTCGCGATTACGGAATACTCAGTGAAATAATGACCTATGCTCCACGGTCAGTTTTAAAAAACGATATACAATAGCAGCATAGCATAAATAATAAAAATCGTATTATTAAATTGAACGATCGAACAACCAACGAACAGCTTAAACGGACCTAAAGCGAGTATAAAAATGGTATTAAATAGAACGGGAGTACCGTCAAGATCAAGAAATATCTAAACCTTTGTCGGTCGCAGACCGCAGTTCGTAGTAAGTAGTAACTAGTTTTGTACTTTATGACTTATAAGTGGTGGGAGCCAAGAAACGCAAAATACAATAAAAGAATCAAAAAAACCTAAATAAATACATATACCTAATTGATTTTGCGTTCTAAGTTGGTATTTTTATGAATATTAAATTTTGGATTTAAAAATTTAAACTTATTTGAAATTAACTTAAGTTGCTTATATCTTTTTCTTTTTCTATTTGTTTTCGGGAAAAGTAGTTCAATTTCATATATTTAGTATAATACCTACTTAGAGACGGGACTAGATTCTTAGAGGCCGTGTAAAATTTTTTCGTAAAGGCCCTAAACTATACAGGACAAAATTAAAAAAAAAAAACCCAGAATTTTGTCTTTTTTGTGTTATATCTTTATTCTTTAATACACGGCTTTAGTTTTGTGCAAAAGTATTGATCAATATCCACATATTAATTTTTTTTTTGGGGGGGGGG